CTTTGTGCACAAGAAGATCTTTATGAGTTTCTTTCTTTCAATTCCTGCCAGTATATCAGCGTCGAGGTCATTTAAACTGGAAGACTATTATATTTAATTAAATATACTTTTTGTGAGAGTTTTGTTTGGGGTTTTCCCTGTGGAAAACCATGGCTCAAAAAAAGGTTGGGAAATACTGACTTAAACGTGTCATTGGTTTTACCTGGACATGGAATTGATCAAAGGTCATGATGGGCCCAAAGTAGAAGAAGGGGAGGTAGAAGTTGTACTTGAGCAGCTCTATGATACTATAGTTTCCATCCTTCCTTTCACAGTTTTCCAGAGCGAAGCTCATACATCGCATTATGGTGAAGCCACAACCTCCATAGAAGAGAACGTGGCGCAGCTCAAAGTCACCATTTACAAACCCAGCCTGTTTGATGCAGCAAGGAAAAAGTGAAAAAACTATTTCAATACAACAGTTGATGCAGCAAGGAAAAAGTGAAAAAACAATTTCAATACAACAGTGTGTTTTTGTTTTTTGGGTTGTTTTTTTTTTTTTCGGTTTACCTGCCAGGCCACGAAAGGTTGACACTTGAAGGTCGCGAGTGTAAACAGACCAGTGGCAAAGCAGAGCCAGCGGATCTTCACCAAGGAGATGCTGTAGAGGAGGATGCAGTGAGACAGCATGAGGGTGACGTAGGTCCAGCCCATACTGGTCCACACGGCCAGCAGCCCGTACACCATGTAGACCAGAGACCTGTACTGTGAGGAACACGAACAGTAATGTCACCACAGCACCATAACGCCCAGCTAACATGTCCATATTTGACCGTGTCGTCTGAGGCACCTGTGGAGCCAACATGGAGCAGATTTTGGCAAACAGTATGTGCCCGGAAAGAGCAAACAGGATGTGCTCTCTGAAAGTTGAAAACCACATGACCCACTCAAAATCCGCCGTGTCCTGGAGAAGAAAAAGTAAAAGGTAAATGACAGGAAGAAGTGAACAAAGAGAAAGATCAACGTTCTCTCACCATTTTTCTCCCAAAGTAGTACCATCCTGGCTTCACGCTGCTTTTGAACGACTTTCTATTTGCATTAGCTGGAATAAAAAAATTAAAATGTCAATGAGAAGCAGTTTGTGCTCATTTTGAATCTAAGTTTGACATAGATTTCGTTAAAATGTCAATGAGAAGCAGTTTGTGACATAGATTTTAATTGATTGTCTGTTTATATGTTTTTTTGTCTTTGTTTTGGACAGTTTGTTTGAGTGACAGTGGAACTCTGCCACAGAGGTGTAGCTGGGACTATTTTCTTCCTCTGCTCCGTGATATTAATACTGACACCTGATCTCTGAGGGTTCTGCATAGCTCCATGAACATGGCTTTGTCTGTATGTCATTGTCCTGCCACTTCCATGTGTGTGTGTGTGTGTGTGTGTGTGTGTGTGTACACTATATGTATATGTCACACTAATATAACAAACTACTACAGCTTTTACGTGTAAATACTTACAGCTGGAAACTGCAAAGATCCAACTCGTGGCCCACAACATTGCCAGACTCAACACTGTGTAGTAGAAATATAATTCATATTTGGGGAGTGCAGCTTTGACCCCCATGATTAGACGACGTCAGGAGGCTCCTAGACACAACAGATAACAAAAATCCAGTTTGTTTCTGCAGCTGAAGCCTCTTTTCACTCCTCAAGCAATCAATATTTAAAACTTTTGTTGTAAAATAAAAATTAAAGCTAAAAGGTGAGACCAACCTTAGGAAACGACACATATGACAGAAGGATCCAAAATAAGGCATACAGTACAGTATGTGACACAGGAAACAGACCAAACAGGCAGAACAAGGTTAAGAGCACACACATTCAATATTCAGTGGGTGGAAACAATGAATTAACAGGAAGTCCACAATTACCACAAACTAAAGTGCTTAATTTCATTATTACTGTCATTATTACTACATACTGTTACTGATTTCAGTTGTTGTCAAGTTTTTCCACATGAACATATTCCTGTAAATGTCCCAACACAATCTTAAAACTGCTCTCTCTCTCTGTTGTCATGTGTTTCTGACTTAATTCTTTTCAATCTAGAACTTTGTTCTGATGGATGTACATGTTTCTGCTCTCCAAAACTTTACTTTCATAAGATTACAACTTTTGTCTTGTGATTTTAAATTTAAATTTTAGCACCAGGCTGAGTATTATTTGAGGGTTGCCAGATCTAAATTTCAGGATGTAACTCTGATGCAATGGTTTATCTCGTCTTTGTTTCACGTGAGGCATTTTTGTTTGACAGTCTTATCAAAAACCAGTCAAGGTCAAACAGTCAAGTTTACGATTGGATTAGAAACGAGAGCCTTAAAGACACTAACAAAGAGCAGCTGTCTGCTATTTTTAACTCACTTCTCTCTCACTGTGTGCTGCTCAGCTCCAAACACGCTGATCATTTTTTCCATTCCACTCAGCTCCAAACACGCTGATCATTTTTCCATTCGACTTTTAAATAATAGAAATATCAAACGTAACCTGCTGTATTCTCTGAAAAGGCTCTGGCAGATGTCAAACAAACGCTCATGCACGTCACCCTGTGGCTCCTATCATCACACTGACCTTGAACGCAGCGGCTTGAAAGTCCTGAGAAGTTGCTGTGAAATAAATATTTGGTGAATTCATTTATTCAAAATTTGAATAAATAAAAGAAAGAAAAAAAGAAACGAAGGAAGTTTACATGTGCTGTGCATCCGCAGGCTGGACTCAGGTCCCTGTGTCTCCCGCAGACAGGGAGCTTCCATGGGGTAAAGGTGACTTGATGTATTTATACTCTGACCACTGACACAGACAGAGGGGGGCGGAACAGAACAACTGCTAAATCAGTACAACAGGTTCTTCAGCAGACGAACACTGAGACTGATACCAACTCAAAGACCCAGGTTTAGAGAGTAAAACAAAAACATTTTATTTGATTAATTACTAGATGTTTTGAGTTGTGCTTTGTGTTACTTTGGTTCACAACTGCATTTTGAAGAACTGTTTACTTCCACTGAGCCATTCATCAATCTGATGAGGACCCAGTCATCAGGTGAGGGCGGGGTTCTACTCACAGACTCACCTATAGCCTCTTTACAGTAAACTAATCTAATCAACAATTTGTATTCACAGAGAGAGAGAGAGATGATTCTCACGGGGTTTGAACTGTGGAAAACGTATTGCTCTTTGAAAAGACAATTAATCCACTCTACCTTAGTGTGGCGCTGTTCAGTTCTAATCCCCTATTCAAAGTTGTTTAATTCCAGAAATTAAATTGATTCTGCATTTTCCTTTGTTAAATGTATTTCAAATATTTCAAATCTTTATTTAAAATGCTAAAGATGCCATTTGAATAAAATATGTTGAAATTGGCTTGATTTAAATACAGGCCACACAAGGACTAAAAATGTTTCATGAAGTGATGAGAGAATTTACAAAAATTGACCTAAAAAAGTATGTTCATTGAAATATTGTCTTGAAAAATACATATAAACGATCTGTGGAAGTTGTTAGCACTCAGCTGCAGGTGGGAGGAGGGTGCAGCACCTGACACAGGTGAGTTCAATCATGGTAACGATGCCTCTCATACTAGCAGGAGGCCGGACCAATGGAGAGTAGAGGTGAAAGGACAACAGAATGTCAGGTCAGAGTTGTATGGACACAGGCAGAGAAGTGTGGAGCAGCCAGCACTGCTGTACAGTGGGCGGAGAATGTTGAAGAGTCAGATCTGTGTCCAGGAGGAAATCAATTGTTACAGGATTCTATAAAAGATGGATTTTAATGTAAGTTCAAATCTCAAAGTTCTTTTCCTTTATGAGGTAGGTTTGCATAGATTGTTCTAAAATGACTTTCATCTTACTATTTCGAAGAACTATTACAAATTTAATATACTTTATATTTTAGACAAAATGGAGTCCAGCAGGAAGAAACATAAAATAATGGAGTGGTTTATTTTGAAATGACAGCAAAATACAGTTTTCTAGCTTCATGGTCTGGTCCATGAGGGTTGGGGGGGGATATGACACATGCTGCTCCATGATACACAGCATAACTGAGAACAAAAAGTTTCAGTGCCTGGAGTTTAAAAAAATGACAACATACCAATCCACATTTGTACTGAAAAACATAATGTGCATATTCAATATAAATTGTTCTTTTTTTTCACATTTGTTAGTATATAAAATGAAAGTTGAAGCAGTAACAAAACTAACTTTTTTTTTTTTTGACAGTATGGCGTGTTTGTGGCGGTGCAGCAGACGAGTCTCAGTTTCGTCACTCTTTTTTGCTGGTCTCTTGTCCTTCAAAGCTGGGGTACTTGCTCTCCACCTGAGCCCAGGTCAACGTGCCGTGGGCCAAGTCTCGAACCACCCCAGGTAGGTCAGAAACCTGCAGAGATTATTAGAATTTAACTTTCTTTGAATGTGGAGTAAAAAGTATTGGAGTGAAGGAAGAGCTGCGTACCTCGGCCCTGATCTGCCTCATCGAGTCCCGGTCTCTCAGAGTGGCTGTGTGTGGCGTCTTGTTCACGGTGTCAAAGTCAATGGTGATACCGAAGGCCACACCGATCTCATCTGAGCGGGCATAGCGCCGCCCGATGGATCCAGAGGAGTCATCCACCTTGTGGGTCAAGCCGTGTTTGGTCATGGCCTCAGCTAAGGCAAATAACAGTTAACTTTTTTTTTATATTATATTTTTTTGCATGAGATGGAAAAAAAAAAAATTAGCCAAATAGCTTTGTATTTTATATTGATTAACACAACTGAAATGAGCAGCAAAGACAAAATATAATTTATTAAAACCATATTATGAAAAAAAAACGTCTTTGTTGTGATTATTTGATAATCTAGTTTTTTTTTGTCATTCTGTCAAACAACTGAAGCAGCAAAGTATTTACATTAGAGAGTATTTACAGCGTGAATCAAATTAAGTCTCTTTGCATAAAAGTGTCTGCTAAATGTAATGAAATGTTAATGTAAAATGGTGGAAAAACTTCGGCTCATACTCACACAGCTGGGTCACAAAAGGCATGAACTCCTGGTTTTGGCTCAGTGGCAGGATGGAGCATTTGTACGGAGACACAGGAGCTGGGAAGCTGAAATACTGCAGACCCCAAAAATAAGTAACATTAATAAAAATAAGTCATTTTTATACAGTCCAAGATTAACTTTATATTTAAAATCTAGCTAGGAATGTTTGAATAGTTTCTGGGCTTTCCTGTTTCCTGTTTTGGTTATTGCTGACAAGTTGTCATTTTAAAGCATTTGTGTTTTTCTCCTTCGTACCGTTCTCTGCTCATCACCCTTTCTGATTTTGAACGAGTGCTCAAAGATGGAGTACATGATTCTGCCGATGCCAAACGAGGGTTCGATCACGTTAGGAACAATTTCCTCCACTGTGGGGGTGAAAAAAAGCCCACATCATATTCACATACAAACACACACCACATCTGTTTCACTGAACAAAGACAGAAATGTCACATCTATACCGTGCACAGTTTTCTGGAACCTCTTCACAGCGACCATGTCTTTGGTCAGTTTGAACTTTTTGCCCTCGGTCTCAATGGTGAACTCCCTATGGGCAAAGAAATATATATAAACTTATTAAATTCATTAACAAGCCTCACAGACATGGTTCACTTGTGGGATTGCTAAATTCATTAACAAGCCTCACAGACATTTCACTTGTGGGACGGTTCACTTGTGGGATTGTGGTCACTGTTACCCAGCGTCATTGAGCAGCTTCTCCTGGTCAGTGATGTAGCACTCATCACAAACGGCCAGGAAGTCCAGCACCAACTTGGCCTCCTTCTTGTAGGCCATTCCTATGGCTCCTTTGTTGGGCTCAAACTGGACCACGTTGACTACTTTGTGAGAAGAAGTTAAGGAGGTAAATAATAAGAAGAAGACATGACAAAAAGATTTAGTGCGTTAATTAATAAAATCCTTGTCAAGTTCTGAACCCGCCTCCAGCACACATGTTTAGTCTATGTACAGGATATGGGTTCTTTGAGGGGCTTTTCTGCCACCAGAGGTACTTTGGTCGCCCTGGTGTGGCACGAAAGGTCGTAACAGGAACGGTCAGCGCAGCCCACAATTTCTATCCAACCCTGAAGGAGAGAGTAGAAAAAAGGAACCATGATGCATCAGGATAAGAGACAGCGATGCAGTCAGTAGGGCACGCGAGAGTAGAACTCACGTAGGAGGTTTTGGACTCCGCGTCCCAGCAGTCACAGGCGTAGTGAGCCATCTCGTTTTCCATGTGCTGACGGAATCGCACTTTATCCTTGGAGAGGCCCACTTTGAGCAGGTACAGGTAGATTCTTCCGATGTAGTAGCCCAGCACGGAGTTGTTGATCACTCCCTGCAGCCAGAAACAGATTTAAATGAAATCCTCCAATCACAGCACTACTATAACAGTGAGAGAGAGAAAATGAGCTGTACCTGCTCCACAGCGTCACCCAGTCTCATGACCTGTGCAGACTGCCCACTTGTCTGAGCTTTAGAGGAGAACAACAGTATCTCCAGATCAGCCACGTTGGAGAACTTTGGGTGAACTTTGTCGTTGGGGTCCACAAAGTGCTCAATCTCAGCCATGGTGAACTCCCTGCAGCAGGAGAGTGTGTGTTTTAATAACCCTGGGTAAATGTTTTTATGTGTGACTCCTGTTATAGGTCATTTCATTACCTGACTCGGATGAGTCCAGAGCGAGGAGAGATTTCATTCCTGAAGGAGTTTCCGATCTGAGCAGCGCCGAAGGGCAGTTTTCCCTGGTTGAACTCTAGGAGGCGCTTGAAGTTGAGGAACATGCCCTGAGCTGTTTCAGGCCTCAGGTAACTGCACAGAAAAGTATTACAGTTTAAACACTGCAAAAATATTCTCCATGAAAAGAACATACAGCCTGTAGTAAAATAATCAGTACCCAGGCATGTTGCCTCCTGGTCCAATAGAAGTCTGAAACATCAGGTTGAAGGAAACAGGAGGTGTGAGGTCATTTCCTGTGGAGGGAGATTTGACGTTGTACTTCACAAAGAGGTCGGCTAACTCCTGCTGAGTGTAGTTGTCCATCTGAATAAAGACAAGAAAAGAGGCAATACATATATTTTTATATATACTGTATATATACATACACTAAACCTAAAACTATAACTTTATAAATCTGTCGTCTCACCTGGGTGATGACATCATCCATCTCTTTGGCCTTCTCCTCCGTGCACTTCTCCTCAGACATCAGTTTCTTTAGGTGAGCTGTAGAGAAACAGGATTTAGCCAATGAAGAGGTAAAGAAAGAGCTGAGATCTGCACAAAAATGCAGAGCAACTTGTTGGATTTTCCTCTGGAGCTACTTAGGGTTTTCACATGAACCATTTGACTTTTGAGTCTTTGGATAATTTACTTGTTCCAAACACAGCAGCTCTGCTCTTAAAAAAGACATTCTTCCACTTTTAACATCACAGCATTGGTCAAGCAGACATGTTGGAATTGATTTCAACGTCTGTATGTATTATTACGCTGCCCTTGTTTGCTAGACAACGACTCCTCCCTTACTCCTCACCCCTCCAGGGAGGAAATGTGACACTTGCATAGTAAAGGAGATGACTGAATTGGGTGGGGCTGGAATTAGTGTTCATGCATAATTTAAACGTAAAGAAATACCTTTCAGTAGGTGGTCAGCTCGGTAACATTCTCCAGTTTTGGCATCCTTGACCATGTAGTCAGCAAATTTATCAACGTGTCCTGATGTTCTGAAGGGAAAAAGCAGGTTTTCTGTTTCAAATGCACATAAATGCAACGTGTATGACATAAATATAGTTGACATATGATGGTGTATGTTTACTTCAAAACAGGCTCAGGAGTCAGCATGGTGCAGTCGATCTCCAGGATCTGCTCCTCCTGGATGAAGTGCTGCCTCCAGGCCTGGAGGATGTTGTTCTTCAGGGCGCAGCCCACAGGGCCGAAGTCATACAGACCACTGACACCTGGACAAGGGGTCAAACACTGTTAACACAATGGAGGGGGACGATGACATTAATGCAGGTATCAGTGTACTTCACCTCCATATATGGCAAAGGCCTGATCGTAAAAGAACCTCCTCTTTAGGGTGTCCTCCATTTTCACCCTGTCTACTGTCTCCTCCTTGGGCTGCAGAGCCAGCTCCTATAGGTTGAGATGTGATCATGTGATTTAAATAACAGCCCTGCTTTATTCTCAGATGCATTTTTTTTTACGATTTCAACGTAAAACTGAAACCAAAAGGAAAAGTAATATCTCTCACCTTGGCTTCAAGGACCTTCTTGCGGGCTTTCAGTTCTGAAACAGCTTTGTTCACTTCCTGATCTGAGGCTCCTTCTTGTTTCAGCTTCTGCACGAGCTCGCCCTGCAGGAGGCCACAGATTTATTATTACATCATTTAATTCCTCAATATTTAACCTTGGTTCCAGCTTTGTCCTAAAACCCACATCAGGGTTGTAGTGTCTCTTATTTTGACATTTAATTTCCAGACATGGTTAATTTATTCATGAATGTTACAGCATGCTTTCATGAGTGACAGCTCACGCCCTGGACAAAAACCTTTTACACAGAGGCTGTAGTAGAACACTACACATGTATTTTAATCAGATTTAAAGATTAGATATAATATTTTCTGCAGTATCTTCAACGTAAATTCCGTTTTTAAATATTAAATATACTTTGAACAAAAAGTTTAGTATAACACGTGAATAAATCAGTCAGTTGCATTTATAAAGCACGCTGTGGAATTGTTGTTCTGTGTTTAAAATAGAACATAAGGGGAAACAATGTCTTATGTAATATATAAAGAAATGTACAGACTGTTCCTTCAGAGTCAGTTTCACTTTTACTTTTACCGTTATCTTTTTTTCTCCAAATATATTCCTGTCACAAAATAAGTAAAATAATAAAAAGTCAACAGAAATGTCATTATTAATTTTTTTTTAAAAACTCACGCCCTAAGTTTATTGTAAGTGTAAAATGTGTACAATAACACATAACCGGCGCTTTATAATACTAATAAAATCTTTTTTTTTTTTTAACTGCAGCTGCTATAGCGCAGGTTTCCAGGTGTGTGTGACCCGGGGAAGAGCTCACCTGTTCCCGTACTGCTGCTCTCAGAGGTGCCAGCTCCTGCTCCATGTTGACACGTATGAAGATAGAATTCGAGTGAAATGAGAGTCTGCTGCTTCTGTGACCAGCTGTGGATCTCTTCAGAACTGAGATGTTTTCAATTTTCCGTTTTATTCAGGCTCTGGCTGAGGCTGTAGCAGAAGGAGGAGGAGGAGACCCAGAAGGAGGAAGAAGAGGAGGCGCCTGTTCCTGTGCTCTGTGAAACTGAGGCTTTTGTTGCATCAGCCAGAAGAAAAGTTCACTTCGTCTTGTGCAGACGTGAGCGGTGAGAAGCAACAAGTGCCGTATAAATTAACAGAAAGAACCCGATGAACACATTCTTTAGTAACGTGAATTCGTCTAAGAAGTTTTGTGTCAGATAAAACAAGACGTAGTAAAGAAACAAGTTAGCTCAATATTTGCTAAAGTTAGGACTAAGAAACTTATTTGAAATCCTACAACTCCGCAAATGTTAATTTATAATTCTGCTAAATTAATAATAATAAAAAAACTCACTAAAATTAGAGACATTAATAGCATAAAGTTATCCTGGAATTTTGACAAGACCAGCCATTCAAGAATCTCGACAAGAAGTAAGATAAATCACAGAAACAATCTGGTAAATTAATATATATATAAATATATAAAGACGTTTTCGCTAAATAAAAAATAAAACTAAGTCGACAAAGTATTAACCTCAAATGGATCACCAAAAAAATATATTCAAGATCACTAGTAAGTTAGCCAGACTTCCTGAATTTTCTTAGCCTTGTTCACTTTCAACTATATATGTCAATGAAACAATACTGGTTGTTCTGTTCTGCTGTCAGAGATTGTGTTATGAATATTTGAACTCATATAGATCATTTAACTTAAAAACCCTTGATTTATCTCCATATTTGAATTCCTGTAAACACCTTTGATGCCCTGTCCCTCGTTGTCAGAGTTCTTTACTGGACAGGCTTTTACCATATATGGTGTTTCTGTCCATTGATGTCAGTAATAATGAAAGTGAAACAAAAACCTTGTGTTTGTCTTTTTTTTTCTTCTTTTTTTCAAGAACAAGTGGTCTGTATGACATCAGGCCTATTGGCTCCTCCCTAAAGAAAGCCATCAGATCTGGAGACAACACTTCATCCAAGAATTGTACATCTGATCCACACAACTGTATTAGATTCTGGACTACAGCCACGTGGTCATCCCTGCTCAGGTAAGTTGAAGGTTTTTACATGTTACTGAAGTGATTTAGAGTGGCATGGGTGCTAAAAGAGATGCCTCACACTAGTTCACCAACACCAGGCTGAAACTTTAATGCAAGGCAGGTTGGAACCATGATTTGATTTTTTTTTTCACTTAAATCTATTGTTCTGTCTCTATAAGATATACTCATTCTTCTATTTACCAGCTGTAATAGTTAAATCAATTATGGTCTTTATGTAATTGGCTGATTAAATGCTAATTACATTGAAGCCAATAATACAATGCCAATAATATAATTTTTTGTGAGCAGTTAAATCCTTTATGAAGTGACTAAGAGGTGAAGAGGCCTATCATCTGCTGTGCTTTAAAACTATTGTTCAGATCAGGTTTGGTTTACTCTGCAGTCTGCTAGAGTTATGATATAATTGTTCTTCTCATCTGGATGAATGATCAGTATCTATAATCTACAGAGTCATCATTCACTCCACAGGGTTTGACACCTTAATAAAAGACATTCCAGTTGTATGTCCATGGTCCAGTAAGTGCTGGCTGTTTTATTTAAACATCTTATTCCTAATCCGCCTGAAAAGTGAAACGTTCATAGTCATCCTTCCACTGCAGACTCAAAAAAACCTGATTACATTTTCTCCCTTTAGAAACATGATTACAACATGGATGAAATGTTGCTCAAACCAACAACAGTCCTGTGCAAGCTTTATCATCAACTGTTAGATATGACGAGTACATGACATTTTCAGTGATTGTAGTGGTGTAGAACACAAGGGAGGGTCTTGCTGCACCACTGTAGCTTATTACAAATACAGTTGCAATACAGTTCTTCTTCTCAGTGGTGTGTATGCAATAAGTCTGTGGATTATTTTTTCCCCATGGAGTGAGAGGCAGACGAGCAGCTTTATTCTTCAACCGTGTCCTTCTTGCTTGTTTCTTGTCCTTCAAAGACGGGGTACTTGTTCTCCACTTCTGACCAGGTCAGCGTACCGTTGGCCAAATCCCGGACAATCACAGGCAACTCACTGACCTGAGGAGAGAACGGGCAGAAGCATTTTCAGAAATCTGACATAACGGTAGAACAGACACTGACTTTGTGATAGCTATAATAGCTACAATCAATCTCTGTGTGGCAGACAAGCAAAGGGATGGAGTCTTTAAAGTGTTGTTGTTCAGGTTTGATAGAATTCAAAATATGCCAAGTGTCCATTGTGTTGTGCATCAACTATTCATGTCCCTGTGCCCAGGGCAGGCCTTCAGCTCACGCCCTCTCTAGCATACTGCTTTAACCCACACCCGACTATTTATTATGCTGCTGTGCAGTTGGTAAACGTGCTAAACATCTATCTGGACAAATACGACACTAGTGTCTGCACAATCAGTCCAGTTTGTCTATTATAGTCCCTGTGCATTAAACAACATTGCCTACCACTAAGACATGCCATTTAAATTGTTTTCTGTGGTCCAAGCGATAATCAAAGCTGTACCTCGGCCCTGATCTGTTTCATCGAGTCTCGGTCTCTCAGAGTAGCTGTGTGAGGCGTTTTGTTCACTGTGTCGAAGTCGATGGTGATGCCAAATGCCACTCCGATCTCATCAGTCCTGGCGTATCGTCGTCCAATGGAACCTGAAGAGTCGTCCACTTTATGAGAGACACCGTTCCTGGTCATGGCCTCAGCTGAAACAAATGAAAATAGAACATTTAGACTAAAACAAACCATTAAACTACTTAAACAAGTGTACGGTCAAAAGGAGGTGCATACTCACATAATTCCTTTACAAAAGGCATGAATTCCTGATTCTGACTCAAAGGCAGGACGGAACATTTGTATGGGGCTACAGGAGCTGGGAAGCTAAAATACTGTTGATGGAAAAAAAAGCTTGTCAGTATTAGTTTACCTATATTATTATTATTAACAACTAATATAAATAATAAAAATTAAACAACCAAACAAAGTACAACTCAATTATCCTCATTATCATTATGTATTATTATTCTGTATATAATAATACTAGGAGCATTCACAGACTTAAGAATTTGCATACAACCTGACGACCTTTAATTTTAGTTTAAGGTTTATATGATTTAAAAGCCTAAAATCTGATAGACTGCAAATAACCTAAAACCTTTACTTGGAGGGTTTATCATCTTAACACGCTCACCGTTCTTTGTTCGTCACCTTTCCTGATGTGGAATGTGTGCTCAAAGATGGTGTACATGATTCTTCCGATGCCGAAGGAAGGCTCGATTACATTTGGGACGATTTCCTCCACTGTAAACAAAACATTTAGACAGAAGCTATACATTAAAGCACTTGTCACTTCCCCTTCTGCTCTCGTTCTCTGTGAGAGAATCTCACCATGCAGCGTTTTCTGGAATCGCTTCACGCTGACCATGTCCTTGGTGAGCTTAAATGTCTTGCCGTCCGTCTCAACAGTGAACTCTCTGAGGAATGAACATAACACCAGAGATCCATTTAAAACCTGTGCTTCTTATGATCAGCATGAGTGTCAGAGTTTAAAACCCACTCACCCGGCCTCATTCAGCAGCTGCTCCTGTTCTGTGATGTAGCACTCGTCACACACAGACAAATACTCCATTACTAACTTGGCATCCTTCTTGTATGCTTTACCTATAGCTCCTTTATTGGCCTCAAACTGGATGACGTTTACAACTTTGTGTGGAGAAGTTAAGGCAAATGGCTGGAGAAGCAAAGTACATTCTGGATATTCTTGGCCTCAGACTAAGCTCTTATTCTATGATTAAAGGATATGGGTTCTTTAAGAGGCTTCTCTGCAACCAGAGGGACCTTGGTGGCTCTTGCGTGACATTGTAGATCATAGCAGGACCGGTCTGCACATCCTACAATCTCAATCCAGCCCTAAACAGTAAAAAACACTGGTCAACATTGGAGCCATATGTGGAATTACCGATGAAGGAGATGGACAGAGAAATGAATGAAACATACATATGAGGTTTTGGCTTCAGCGTCCCAGCAGTCACATGCGTAGTGAGCCATTTCGTTGTCCATGTGCTGTCGGAAACGCAGCTTGTCTTTGGCTATACCAACTTTAGTAAGGTAGAGGTAGATCCGCCCGATGAAATATCCCAGGACAGAGTTATTTATCACCCCCTGTGAGAAACCAGTACAACTTAGTATTTTTGGAAACTGATTAAATTAAAATTTGCTAAAAGTTGAAATTCTATCTCTTGTCTCAAAATATGAATGAACTAATGAACCACTCCTGAATTGAGTCCATTTGTAATGAACTGTACCTGTTCCACAGCATCACCCAGCCTCATAATATGTGCAGACTGTCCACTGGTCTGGGCCTTGGAGGAGTATAACATGATGTCAAGGTCAGCAACATTGGAGAATTTTTGGTGGACCTTCTCATTTGGGTCCACAAAGTGCTCAATCTCAGCCATGGTGAACTCTCTGTGTGGAGACGTAGCAGGGTTACAATTCTGTTAAGATGTCTATAGTTAATAAATGAAGTACAGAGACTTAATGTGCAAGGAGTTCACCTGACACGGATGAGTCCAGAGCGAGGAGAGATTTCATTCCTGAAAGAGTTTCCTATCTGAGCAGCAGCAAAGGGCAGTTTTCCCTGGTTGAACTCCAAGAGTCGCTTAAAGTTGAGGAATATTCCCTGAGCTGTTTCAGGCCTCAGATAGCTGCAGAGCAAAGCTTTGATCAGGATCATTTCAATTGTTTTAGATGTGAGAAAAAGGAAAAAAAAAGACTGACTGAATTATTTACCCTGGCATATTTCCTCCTGGTCCAATTGATGTCTGAAACATCAGGTTGAATGAAATAGGAGGTGTGAGGTCATTTCCTGTAGTAGGGGATTTGACGTTGTACTTTACAAAGAGATCAGTCAGTTCTTGCTGAGTGTAGTTGTCCATCTAAAATAGAAAAGAATGTACAATGAATCTTAAGCATTGGCAGCAGCCCTTTGTTTTTGAATATTTACCATTTTAGATTTTCAGATGTTGCTCTAAATTTGGGAAATTCCACATTTTAAAAAAATGTACTTCTCTGTGACATCCAATCAGGTAGGTTGATTTAAAGTGGTCATGGGCAACCAATTTACAACAACGTTTCTCATACAACCTCATGGTTTAATTCAAGCATAAAGGTTTCAGTAGCTGACCTGAGTGATGACATTCTCCATTTCAGCCTTCTTCTCAGCTGTACATTTTTTGTCAGACATCAGCTTCTGAAGATGGGCTGTAAAATGAGAACAGAATTGGTTAAACAGCAAAATTGCTTTTAATTTAAACCTTTAAGCATTGGAGGCCATTTGTTTACTTGTTTCTAGGACTGATCTTAGTGGCTTGTTTCCTTTTGAAAGTGTGGTGTGATTTTTGGCTGCTGCACCTGCTACTCAGATACCAAACTACAGCAACAGCAGCCAATGACATTAAAATTTGGACAGTGTCCATGTTGCTGAATCCCCTGAATAATACTGAAGTAAGAACATAAAAGCTCACTGCAGATGCTTTTCAGGTCGTTTAATCGTAGGTTGCACCATTCACATGAATAGAAATCCACCCCTTAGTTTATACTTCAAGTCACACAGGCAAAATGTCCACACTACATACCCTTGAGCAAGTGGTCCGCCCTGAAGCATTCACCGTTCTTAACATCTTTTACCATGTAGTCAGCAAATTTGTCCACGTGTCCTGATGTCCTGGTAAAGATATGACGAAACAACAGGAAATCAGACTCATTTTGAGGTACAAAAGTGTTGTCTAAACTTAGGAAATGTGTTTCTGCAACCGGGCTATGGAAAGCTGCGATGACGACAGTTTCCATGCAAAAAACTGCAGAATTAATTTGTGCCTGTTATAAAAAACCTACAGTTCAGCACTTCAGAGCTGACTCCAGGAACCACCAGGCATTGTGTTCATACATCATACAAAACAGAAAAAAAATAACATAGAACAAGAAAAAAAAGTTTAGCTCCAACATCTGGTATAGTGGTTAAGAAAAGGTAAGATGAAGTGAGACAGGAGTCAGGCTGTGTGTGCATACTTAAGGACAGGCTCAGGAGTCAGCATGGTGCAGTCAATCTCCAGGATCTGCTCCTCCTGGATGAAGTGCTGCCTCCAGGCCTGGAGGATATTGTTCTTGAGGGCACAGCCCACAGGGCCGAAGTCATACAGGCCACTCACACCTAAGAGAAAATACTACATGGTAACAAAGGAGTACAAGTTGTCCAAAACCATTTTCCCACAATGAGCCACAGCTGACTGACCTCCATAGATGGCAAAGGCCTGGTCATAGAAAAATCGCCTCTTCAGCGTATCCTCCATCTTGGTTCTGTCGACAATATCATCTTTGGGTTGCAGCGCCAGTTCCTAGTATGAAAGGTATGATTTACTTTTTTTAGGCAAACAAGTAAGCATCATGGAAATGACAGTGATGCATTCACTGTCCTAGAATAGAATTGGATTACAGCACCCTTTTCACTGTTGATTCCATCACTGTGTTTGAGCAAATAAGATGCCCTTGATTAAGCTATTGTCTTATTTCAAGAAGTTGTTTACCAATTTCATAATAGTTTTTACCCAATCGATCTTAAGATGTTATAATTAACAGTACCGTAAAACTTTTTAAAAAAAACAATTGATGCAGTGATTTGGATCACTTACCTTGGCCTCCAGAGTCCTCTTCTTGGCTTTCAGCTCAGCCACAGCCTTAGTGACATCCACATCAGGAGCACCATCCAGCTTCATCTGACGGACCAGATCTCCCTAAAACAAAGAAAGTATGACGGATTGTGATTATACACTTCCCTCAGCTATTCGTAACCACTACATTCCCGTCTGAGCATGTTCACGAACGCAGCAGAATGATTATGGCTATATTTTTAACCACAGGATAATATTCTCGGGGAACTTATTAATGTGGCCCTTTTTTTATAACCCCACCCTGCACACTCACGTCTGCAGCAGCAACTGAATGTGAACGTGGCAAAGGGCGCAGGCATGACTGCTAGCCACAATTAGCAGTTAGCGCCGACTGCTCTCATTCATTGACAGCTGTATAAGCAGTAGGTCAGTTAGCCGTTTGTTTAGCTTTTTTTCCCCCCACTCGTTTCACACGTCCGAGACCCTATATCTAATCTCGAGATATACTGACGGTAGCGGCTGTCAATTTCTGATAAAACTTAGCGATTACCTGCTCTTTGACTGCCAGTCTCAGAGGGGCGAGAATCTCTTCTACGTTGCCGTCCATGGTTTGTCCTTCTTCCGCCAGCTGCAGCCACAGGCTTTTCTTTCTCTTTCTTTGCAGGCAGACCGACGTAAAAAACGGCCTGTAGGTTAGCGGGCAGCGGTGCGACTGGCGACCGAAGTGGACCGTGGACAGCAGGCAGAGGGAGGAAATCTCAGTGGTGGTCCTCAGCAGTGCTGATGCTGCGCTACGGAGAAGCATGGACCGAGCGCCGTTATAGAAAAGAATGATGAAATCCTGGAGGG